TACTAATAAAACAACAAATAAACAAAAACAAGCAGCAAAAGCTAAAACAAGAAAAAAACGTGGACTCGTGAAAACAACGGCAAAATCAAATGATGATTTAAATGTAAATACGCGAACAAAACGAGAAGCTAGTTTAAAAGCATCAGCAATGATCATGCAACAAAATGAAATTGAACGTTCACGTTTTAATTATATATTAGCTGATACATTAACAAATACAGCTGCAGAACAAGTAGCTGCTGCCAAACGCCGACGTCGTCAGTCAACAAAAGATAATAGTCCTCATATTGAATCAATAACTCAATCCGTTGAAGATAATGATATGAATACAGACGCCGTCTCTGTAAAAAGAGAGCTTGCATTACCGGCAGCGGTGCCTACAGCACAAATCGTTTTACCTCCTCCTCTCTCCTCATCCACACCTCTACGAAAACCATCTCCATCTTCACTATCGATGAATAAATTCAAGTTTAATGTACCGCACGTGCCTCCACCTCATCGACCATCGACAAATAATGCATCAACTAAAACAGAATATGCACAATCGACACCGGATAGTAAAACAACAGCACTGAAAAAACAAACAGTTACTATACCGCCTTCAAACGTTCAAAATTTACAATCGTCGTCTTCTTCATCGTCAACTACAACGCCTGCCTCTGCTTTAAAATATCCAACATTAACCGAAAATATATTAGCAGAACACGATCGAATTCACGGCACAACACCACCTTATCACACTACAAGACGGGATAACGTTATTCGATGGGCACAAGAGTTACTTTCATACAGTAATGAACGATTATCACCCCCATTTCCTAGCGAACAGGTTCCACTAGAATCATTTCATGTACCATTACGCTCTACTACAACTTCGTCAGATCAGCAACTACAACAGCAGCAGCCAATAAGAATGAGCCAGAATAGTAATAGTAATCAAAGTACAAATAATAATAATGGTGGACACACCGGATCGATTGCTGCATCAACTTCAACAACATTAGCTGGAACAGGAACAGCAACAACTGGTGGTAGTACGACGATAAATAACGATAACTCTAAATCGTCGGTGAATCATATTAGTGCAGTTGAAAGAAAAAAACCAGCAACAACAACCAATCGACAACCGATCAATACTACTAATGTGACATTTCCTAATAAAGGTAAATGAGCTTTTCTCTTACACCTTGAATGGCAGTGTTTTCGATAGAAGTTTTGGTGAGGGCGGGTGGAGAGCCTGCTGAGTAACTAAAGTTTTTTTGTTGAGTAACGCATTTTTTGACTAAAAGTTTTTTCTGAGAAACTGCATGTTTTAAGTTAATTGCTAGCTGAAGAAATATCAGTCTTAGACTGATGGTTCTTCATTATATTTTATTATAGACCTCTAAAAATCACTTACTCAGGTGCAAAAGAGCCAGATTCTCATCAAATAAATACATTACTCAGAAGCTAGAGAAAATCACTTATATAAAAGGCAGTTTCTCAACTTACGTTTGTTAAAAAATTTCGGAGTAAGTCAAAATTTTTTGAGTAACTTTATCCAAACAAGCGAATGGATTTCCACCCCCTACCACCCCCTAATCGATAACGCTCCCGAATGATTACGAGTTGTTCATAATCGAGTGAAATTTTGTATCGCAGTTTGACAACGTAACGTTTCATATCTTTTTTTATATTTCTATGTTTCAGTTGTAGTTCAATCCTTACCGCCAGCAACGTCTTTACAGTCAATTCCAACATCAACCGTCGCCGGTACCACATCATCATGTTCTCATCCACAGTCATTTGATCATTCGACATCCAATTTATCACCAACTATTCATCCCGAAAACAAATTTTCTCTTCTGGCACCTCCACCGCCACCATCACCTTTACCACCAGGCGGCACAACCAACTTGCCAGTGCAAAGTCCCTATCCTACAGGAGCAACATTTCCACTTGATTTACATCAGTTTTTTCCCTTATTATCCTGTTGGCAGTATCCTGGTAAGGAATGATTATCTATTTTCTTTAAAAAGAATCGCATGTTTGTATTTAAATATTTAACAGATGGTTTATTACACTGATACTTAAAACTCGTTTTTCTTTGTTTTTCTCTTTCCGTTTTTCTGTATTCTCGAGAAAACAAACTTGAGAAAGAATGTATTTTTTTGCTATTATTTGCTTTCACACAACAGAATTGTATTCATCTTGTTATTTAGAGACGGTTGTTTTTGTTTCTTCTCCATGTTGTATTTTAAACAAAAATAGTAATAAGACTCCTAAATTGTATTATTATTGTTGCTTATTTTTGTAATGCTTTTTTCTGTGATACAAAAACAAAATGAGAGAAGTGAACTGCATGTGTTTTTCTTATATATACTACTCAAGAGTTTATGTCTTTCATAGAATATACATAAAGATAAAAACACGTTAACAAAAGAATATGTTTAATAGATACGAATAAGCGGGCTCAAGTAGCTATTTTTGTGTGCGGGTGTGTCCTATTTCTAGATATTAATATTGTTGTAGATATAATAAAAATATATTTGCTTGTACATA